CATAGATTTTGGTAACCTGCAAATGCATGTGTTCATACAAGTATGTGGTTTTACAGCACTTCCCACTCTTTGGTCTGCCCTGGGCTAGAAAGGATCTGAAGCAACCTCACAGAAAGCTGAGCAGATCTGATCTCTCTGTAGAGTAAGCTGACATAGTGCTTCAGAGTGCTTCAGTTCCTTGGACCAGCTCACACCACACAATCATACAGTGCAAGAGAAGAGGCCAGAAATGGGGGAAGGATGATACTGCTTCAAACCCCAATGAGATCACAAGCTGCCAGGAAATGTCAGGTTAAGAGACATCAAATGGAATGAAATCTTCTAACTGTCCTAGCCTGCTGTTTAGAATAGTGATCTGGAATAACTGGAATGTTTTGTACTTTAGATACAACTTACAGATGGGACTAAGCATGACAGGCTTAAAAGGCATGGGAAGTGCTTGAAAGCCAGGTTTTGAATTGAATATGATTTGATAAATATGTAAAATAAGCAAGGTGAATTTAAAGAGGAAAGTGTAGCTGTAAGGAAAACACATGAATGACATCCAACACAATTCTGGTTTTCTCCCAGGTAACCTTTGTTTTGAATTAGCAAAACAACTTTTTCCATTTATTATTAAGATGGAAAAAAGTTATATAGAGGTTACTTTTTAGAACTACAGGAGATATAAAAGATGTACCTTGATGAAAATCTCAGTGTTGACATTAGACAGTACATTTCTAACTGAGAATACGTGTTCATTTTTTGTTGGGGTATGCTATGTTATAGAGGTGCTCTAGTTCAGAAGACCTGCCCTAACATTTCTAAATTAAATTTTATCTCAATTATGAGATCCACAGTGACCAACAGCTTTGTACTTTGCCCTGGAATGCAGCACATAGCCTGAAGAGATACATACATATTATCTTTTTAGGTGGAGCAGGATTTCCAACACACTGGTATTTGCATTGCATGTTTAACTGAACTGTGATGCAAATTTATACTTGAATGGATTATTTAGATGTCAAATCTTTTATTTGTCTTCTATGCTCCTTGTTCATTGCTTATCTACCACAGATTCTAATCAGGATGTTCCTTTGGAATTTTTTTCCTTATTATTTTAACAACACATCACAACTGCAATTTTCCATCCCAAGACTGCATCAGTTTCATTGCTTACAATGTGAGCCCATTGTGAGCCTGTGAAGTGTTTGGAAACTTTTGCTGTAGCTCTCTTACTCTCTGGAAAAGCCTTACAGGCTCCACAGCAAGGCAACGAGGGCTTTTCCTCTGTAGAAGCTGGGCTCATTTTTATACACTGAGGAGTCTTTATGAAGAACTGCCTGTTGAGCAAAATTTCTGTATAGGCTGACATGGACTGTTAAATTGTCAGCCAGTGATAAAGATTAGATCCTGCACTTTGATGTTTTCAAGGGGTGCTTATGAAGAACATCTGCAGTTTTTCATGTGTGAGTAGAGAATAGACTCAAAAATACAGCATGAATGACTTTTCAAGGACATTCTAATACAATGGCATAAAAAAAAAAAAAAAGAAGTCTTTGCTTGGCTGCAAAAATATTCCTAATACAACCATTTAGTTACCTAGAAAGTAACTGTTGTAAATCAGGAAGCCTCTTACAGCAAAAATGATTGAGGAATCAATCCCCCTTCAAATGTACAAGTCAGCTGGGACATGTTCAATTTGCATGTCTGTCAGAAAAAGTTGGTGTTTGCTGCTATAAGCTCCTTTCCCTTCTCCTTGTTCCAAGCATAGTTACCCAGAACCTCCTGCCATCTCCTGTGAGAAGCTGTTGCCCTCTAGCTCCAAGAAAGATGTATGATACAGATGCATTGATAGCAGGGTGGTGACAGATTTCCAAAGGAATTGTGCTAACACTGAAGAAAGTCCATACAGAATATGTGACTGTATTTATCTAAGGCAAAAAGAAATTAAAAAATAATTAAGCTACTTCAACGAACAGGAAAGCTTTTTAACCTATGATTATAAAATAGTGAGCTCTTTCTTTTTCAAGGTTCATCTTTCTACAGATAAAACATGGAGGTACATGTGCAGTGCTGTGCTTGTATTTTGCCTTCATATCTAGCTTGTCTGGCCATTCATGTTTCAAGGTGTAATGGAAGCATACATTCATTCTTTTTACATTAACATGAACTCATTGTGCTACAACTGCTAGTGTTGCTCTTGCTGAGACTGCCTACTAAACATCTCCCTCCCTGTGCTCACAGAATCACAGCATGGCTGTGGCTGGAAAGCACCTCTGGAGATCATCTAGTCCAACTCCTGCTCAAAGCAGGGTGTTAGGAAAATCTCATTCTCTAACTATTATACCAGTTAATCTTTATAGTATAAAATGGTATCAATTTGCTTTTAGAAATACATGTAGTTTACATTGTATACTGAATATCCAGGCTTAAGAAAACTAAAGGACCCAACTAAGGAGGACAAAGACAGCCTAGCCCCTGAGATAAGGACCTTACTTCTTGGAATCTTAAAAGCTGTCCGTGAAGGATAAAATATAGTCCTGGACAACCAAGATAACACTAGCATCCTAGCTCCTATAACCTGTCTTTGGAACCCTGACATTGTCTGTCATCATAGATAAGTAACTATAGCAAGACCAACTCCAGGACTGTCTGAACAACAGAAAAGCAGGTGACTCATGACACCATAGAAATACAGTTGCTTTGCAAAATTTTATTATGATTAGTAAACTGTAGTGTGTGTTTGTTAAGTAACAATTAATCAAATCATGTTGCACCTGAACACTTGAAATGCTTGTAGAACTACATTAAGGCTGCCCCAATTTGAATGGGACACCTTGGGAGCATGGATAAAAAAATTACTCTGTAATTCTGTGCTTTGCATCCTAGCCTCAATCCTTACTCAGTATAGATCAGTTGTGAATTTTCCTAACAAGGATCAGCTACAGCAGGTTGCCTATGACTATGTCCAGTTACAAAATCTCCAAGGGCAGAGACTCCACAGCTTCTCTGGGCAGCCAGTTTCAGTGTATAACCACCTTGAAAATAAAAAGATTTTTCTTATATTCATACAGAATGTATTGTTTCAGTTTGTGCCCATTGCCTCTTGTCCTGTCACTGGGTACTACTGAAAAGAACCTGGGTCCAACTTCTTGGAACCCCCCTCTCAGATGTTCATAAACATTGATAAGATCCAACTGAATCTTCTCTTCTTCAAGCTGAACAGTCCCAGCTTTCTCAACTCACCATTGTATGTCAGATGATTCTTCATCATCGTTGAGGGTCTTTGCTGGATTTGCTCCAGTGTGTCAATGTCTTGTACTGAGGAGCCCAGTAAAGGACCCAGCACTCCAGGTGTATCTCACCAATGCTGAGTAGAGGGGAAGGGGTCGCCAGCTGGAACACTTGCTAATGCTATTCAGCATACCATTGCCCTTCTTGATCTTGTAGTCTTAATAGGATTGTGGAATAAGATTGTAGTCTGTTGCCCTTTAAGGAGGGTTAATGTTTCAAAGCCATAATGAAGCCTAAGATAAAGCATTCTCATATGAGCAGTAGTGAATGCCTAGTGACATTCCTCAGTGTTCTTATGGATTGCCTTTAAGCTACACAGTAAGAAAAGACCAAATACTACACACCACCTTGTTGTTCGGTACAAGTGCCTAGAGTTGCTCTGACTGCATTTGCTGTCCCTACACTCTGCTTCTGGTTATGGCTTAAATTCCCTACCCTAGATCTCAAGATCCATAGCCTCACTTCAACAAAAAAAAAGCCATTCTTTATCTTCTTTGGGACAAATAAAGTGACAAAAGCCTCCCCTAAGAGAATGAGAACAAAACGTGACTGGACTCTTTCTAATTTTCTCCCACACACATTTCAAGATTTGAACATACTATATTCTCATTATCTCCACCTCAGATTTGAACAGCCTGATGTGTACATCATCTAGTTTAATGGACAAACTCTCTGTTGGATTTGGTAAGATTTGGAATAGGACTTATGTCAATAAATAAAAGCTTATAAATCTCTTGAATATAGTAGTACCTCTGAGAAAAGGGCAAGAATCCAATATGAAAAGGTTTTCTTTCTTATCCATTAAATTTCTGTGACATTTCAGAGCTGTTTATTGTTTTTATACCTCCACCAAAAGTAGCTAAATGCACCATGCAAACTTTAGAAGAACACTAAATGAGTACAGTTTGAAGAGGAATTTAAACCACTAGAATGTTTTTGTTTAACAGCTAGTAATACCCAAGACATAGTGAAACAAAAATAGATGAGAACAGTATAATATAAGCAGAAGGAAACTTGCCTGTGTTTGCTCTCTGGCCCTTGGAATAACATATTGCTATTTGCAGAGCTGGTTCTGCTGCCACAGCTAGGAGGATTATTTAAGCCTGACAGTAGGCTTTTCTTCTTTCTATAGCACAATCAGTTTCATTACCATTTGAGTTTTTGTCCATAAATTTTGGTTGTATGTGAGGAATAGGAATATGGCTGCCATGACCTGCATACACAGTCATTTCTATAGAGAGGTTGTAGGCAGATGCTGAGAGGAGGCTGAGGGCAGTGGGGGCCACGGGGTACAGTGGGGCTGGGTGTGCTTTGGCTGAACCACTGTGTGGCAGGGGAAGGAAAAAGGCCTGCAGGGAACATCTTACTTGACCTTCCCCAAAGCAACAGGCAAGATTTTTGTTCCTTATTTATAAACTTTATGGTATAGGTCCTTCCCAGTGAAAATGCATAGCCATACATAGCCCACAGAACTATCCCACATTACGCGCTGCATAAACACCATTATTTTATTAAAATATTGTACAGGTATTTTGCAGAAGTTTATAAGACTATTAGCGTGTTTTTTTGTCTTAGATTGCTAAAGTCTTCTCACATTATTGACAAATGGCTTATTTGAAATGGCTTGTTATCGAGACATGAGCACAGATTCTGAAACAAAATGTTTCAGAAGTCGTAGAATCAACTAGTTTGGAAAAGATCTTTAAGAATATCAAGTCTTTCATGGCAAATAGAAAACCAGTTCAAATGCAAAGGAAACAATTTAATGAGAACATACTATATTTGAATAATATACAAGTGTACATTTTAAAACTGTAACTGCCTGGCAGATCAGTTTCTATGTTTGTAAATTGAAAGATAATGTTACATTAAATGAATTAAAAGAATTACTCTATTTAAAATCCCAAATGTATTTTGCAATCTGATACATTGCATTTATTATGATTCCTTCATGCCAGCTATGGAGACCTTCTCTTGTAAAACTCAACCCCAGTGAAAAACACCCATACACGATTTTTGACATTTTTTAAATAAAACAAGCATGGGAAGTGTCTTGGGCCTGATTCCTCACTGTGCCTCCCACCCATTATTGTAATGAACCAAATAGGTTTTATACTGCAATTTTTAAACTGTCTCTTTATCTTTTGTATTCACAAAAAGGAAACACATGTAAGGAATGAAAAACACCATATTTTTCAATAAACTATTCATTAACAGGAAACAAGCAAAGAAAAAGTTAAAAATGGGTAATTTGAAGTACCCAAAGGAAAGGGATTATCAGTCTGAAGAGAAACTGCTGTTTGAAGAATAGCTGGCATAAGCCTTTGCCATTCTTGGAGTTGTTGGCATTTCATTTCAATATATAATAAAGAAGTCACAGTCATATTTTCAGATGCTTTGATTTCCTGTTCCTGTATCTTCATACACGTCTAGGAAAGAACACATATATATGTATTTATATATATATAAATCAGTTGTCCACAATGATGTCTTTCTTTTCTTTAAAAAACACTATTGCAAACATATAAACAAGCCAGCAGTTCTAAACACAAAAGTAGTTTTTCAGCCTGAATGACAGTTTTGGGGCATTTGACTGAATTTTTAGTATGTGTAAGAATTAGAGCTGTTACACATACGAGAGATCTTATGCATCTTGAAAAGATAGGATGGGTCTCAGCCATAAGTAATATAATGGCTAATATGCCACTCCACACTGCTGCTTTTTCAGTACAGATATTTCAAGTTGCTCATATGTTATCAGCGATAATGTACCAGAGCACCTTCTATAGGGTAACGATAGGCTGAGTCAGTGTAATACGCACTACAAAGCCCGCGCTGAAATGCCTGGCAAAGGTTTGCATCCTCATTGCTCTTCAGCAGTTGGCAGAGCAGAAATTTCTGAAATGGTTAATGCTTGAACTGAGAGAAACAGCACATATGTGAGGAGAGGGAGATGATGTAAATTTATTTTCATATGATGTGAAAATGAAACCTAAGTTACAAGCAGTTTCTGCTCACAGAAGAGTTGTAAGCTGTCAGTGGTTACGTATAAAAGCTGCCTAAACTTCTTGCTCATTAACTCTTACGGCCATTTTCAGATTTCTTTCATATGTGAAAGAGCTTGTTGCCCAGTTGCTCGTTGGATTTATATTTAGCTTAAGAAATGTGCATTAAAAAACAGCTTAGAAGAGTGTGTTTAATTAAATGGTTGAGTATGTGACAGTCGTGTAACACTCTGTGACTGTTGAGCCCAAAGATGGAGCAGAACAAAAAAAGCTGATGCTGTGTTTTCCCTTTGATTATTTGGAAGAGCAGGGGAGGCACATCTGCAAAAGACTTTTGTGAACAGGGACTCATATCACCATGCAAATGTAAAAGCGCAAATCCAGCTGTCATCTCAGCTCATTTTTTTTTTACTGCAATTAGGGTATTAGTCTGTCAAAACCAAAGAGAGTTTAAAATAGTTTCCAGCGGTATTTTTACTTTATAGAAGCTGGGCCACATCTAAAAAGTTGTAATTATTCAGAGTGTCAGAGGCATATGTGCATGTGTGGATGAATGGATAAAAAGATTGATAAAAACATAAGGGAAAGTTGAAAGGAAAAGCTATTTCCATAGTGTCAGGCATTCTCTAGTCTGTGAATTTCCTGGTACTGTCACCGGGATTTCTAACAGCAAGAGAGAGACCATTAGCTAACACTGCAGAAATTAGATTCAAAGAGAGGATCTGGAAGATTCTCAGACTTAAATCTGAGAAAGAAACTGTTTTTATTACTTTTCTTTGCACATTAATTCTAACATATTTACGACGCTAGAGCAGTTCCAGTTAGAACCACTGGGAATAAGAGTAAAGTGATCGCTTTACCAACAAACCTGTTTGGTGCCCATAATATCAATTCTTTTGGTGTTTACAAAGAGAAATTCCTGCCATAAGCAGAGTGCAGGCAAGTTCTTTATAAGTTTTCCCATGAATGTTGCTGATTACTGTACAGATGGCTGCATACCAAGCCTGTGGGATCCATCCATAAGCAATAATTACTTTGCACTATAGGAGTTTGGAATTACTTTCCCAGCTCAATTCTCAATTCTGTGGTGTTTTGTTTTTTCCTCATATGGAATGCTGAAGCATCCTGCTGCAAGTACCAGTATCGACTTAGTTGTCATTTATTTACCACTTAGAGTGCTCCTTTGTAGCACGTCAGGAATTGGAAAATTCATGAAAGTGGTCTTTCTAATCTGAGAAGTTTACCTGTTATCATGTCTAGCAGATTTTATTCATGAAAATTTTGTTCCTACATTTCTTTTTTTAACACCTTGATGTATGAAAAAAGCAGCAAAATGGGTTTATGCAAATGAGTCCTTCCCAACTACAGAATATGTTTTGCAAAGTTTGAGTCAAAATCTGAGCTGTCACAAAGTTCAAGCTACCTTTGCTTTGAATTTATTCCTTTTTTAAAGGCGTAATGTACTTGCGAGAAAGTTGAGAAAGAAGACATGTAGGAAGAAGAATAAGAAAAGTTTTACTTTATGAATGCTGTATTTTACATCTGGTTTAATAATCATCTTAAGTTTCAAAGTGAGGAACTCCAGAGCAAAAATGTCATTACTAATTCATTATTGCTTTCTCACTGATCAGTTTGCTTTTACAAGCATAGTTGCATGTTTGCACACATAATTTGGACACATAGTTGAAGATGAAACCTGCACAAAGTTTTTAATAGTGTAAGTACTGAATGCTAATGCAGTCACATAAACATTATCATTACTCAGCCAACTGATTAATATATTGGTAAGAGTGTGTGTTTTCAACCACAAAAGAATGAGAACACATCATAAAAACATGGAAAATGTAATATAAAAGGCTTGTTACCAAATAGTCTTGTGTGCTGTTCCTGATTTGTAAGAAAGGCTGTCGATATTGACAACAGGTTTATGGCAGCTGTACTGCAATTACAGAAACTTTACAGTGTATTCACTCTTCTTATGCCAAGAAGTGCTATGAAGTAGGTGATTTGAACAAAACCAGGACTACCAGACACTAAATGCATAAGCACAACGTTCTGTGGTCTTTCTGGTATTTAACTCAGCAAAAGTGCTTCTGTGGAGTTCCCAGGCAGGGTACTGCAGAACAAGAATCCTTTTCCTCTAAACCATTAGTTAAGATAGAAATGAAGACATTGCTCACTCAGGTGACTGAGCATTGTCCATTAGTATCTCAATGACCATTTTAACAACCAATGGTTACTGATCAGCTGGCCAGTTTCAGCACTACAAAAAAAGCCCTCTTACTCTACTTGCCACATGGCTGGCAGGCCTGGAAGCTGTATTGCTGATTAAGCTGCTTTGATTGATGATTTAACCTGCTCAGTGGAAAGTGCTTGATGTCTCAGTGCTGTGATATTGTAGCCTCTTAAAACATTTGGGAATTTTCATTTGAAATTGTCTGAAGATCTCAGTTTGTTTGGTTTTTTTTTTCACACATGATGAAACAACAGACTGGAGTATTGAGGAAAAAGTAGGGATTGAATAGGAAACAGTGGAGGAATTGATGTGGCTCACACCTGTTTTCCTTCTTCACTCTCCTCTCACTGGAATCAAACACCAGCTACCAAAATGTAAATTGTTCTGGTTGCAAAAGTATTTTTCTTTGAGCTACCACATAAATGCACAGAGCCTCTAACTTACTGTTGATGGTCTTGTTGCAGCTGGTCTGGAATATGCTGAATAACTTCATAAACTGTACTAAGCATATCCTGGCCTGGAACAAAGTCAGAGCCATGAACAGTTTGACTTGAAACCTAGAAGTAGCAAAGAGTATTCCTACTGTAAGTACAAATGGGAAAAGAATCAACAGAATTTAAACTCATAACTGCCTTTTTTTCTAACTTTTGCCTATGAATGCCTTGCATATGGGTTTAACAGTTCATCTGCCAGTTTACATTTAATTTTGATTAAGTTGTCATCATGTTTATAGTAACACAAGCAATAGTTTTAAATTCAATCAGGATCTTAGATTTAGGATGCAGCTCTTGCATTTAATACAGTGAGTATTTCATATTAGTGTACCAAAAGTCAAGGAAGGAACATTTAACAGAGAGAAGCAAGAAAACAGACAATAAAAAGGAGAAAATATCCAGAGAAAGGGTTCAGCATGAAACTCCTACCAACATGTCAAAGAGAGGGAAATGAAAGGAATTTCCATAAATGAAGTAACATGGAAATGTCATTGTTCAGTATGTTAAGTATACGAATCTGCTGTTATGTTAATATGAACCTCATTATATCCACTTATTATTTTTTTCTCCTTTTTCTGCTAACTGAAATGAATCAGTGGATCAATGCTGACTTTATCCGCAATGCTGTAAATCTGAGTAACAATATAAATCAGTGGAGTTTCTCCCATTTCTTGCAATTTTACTGGATTTCATTGCTTGTGCATCCATTCTGTTGTCCTTGTTACTTTTTTGTCCCTCCTAACCTACTAATGGCCTGATTATGTAATAATGTGACTTTTTGATATGACCAGCCTAAGGGGTATCACAGTGTGTTTAAGGCTGTGATGATTTAGGGCCTGATCTCCATGCTCAGTAAGCCTTCTACAGTCACAAATTTTACAGATACAGTCCACCTCCTCTGTTTTCTTGAAGCCTTTTATTTCTGCTTCTGTACAAGTATGTCCTCTCCACTAACCTTTATGATAGCACTGTAGCCCTAGAAGTTTCTATTTCAATCATCTAACCCCAGCAAAGGGTTTATTAATCTATGACTATCTTTGCTAATACATCATGTATTATGCTAGCTAATCATAATAACAAAACAGGTAAGACTGCTAATGTGACCCTGTCTGATCATATTTTAAGACCTCTTCCTTACCTGACCATATGGATGTGCTCCAAAGGTCCAAGATTGTATTGCCAGAAATTTTTCCTAGCAGAGGGAAAGTGCTAAATTTTATGGCCCTGTTTCTCATTTTTTCTTTGTCCTTTTACACACCACATCAGAATGATCTCCAACTGCTATACAGTAATGTCAGCAAAGCCACAATGCAGAGAAACAGCATATGTAGCAGGATTCTTCTGCTAGCAAAATTTGTGTGCTTAAATCCTCCCCCACAATACATGAAGCTAACAAAATAATTCTTCTGAAAAATAGCTAAGCTTTAGTTCACATGTTTTTAAAGTGAAAACTTTAAATACCCCCTTGAGGCTTTCCTCCACTGCCAGAGTTGTATGTTGCATGAGCAGCAACATTATGGTCAAGGGAGAAAATGGCATCAAAATATTTTATTTGCTTGTGTGACACAAGTGGTTCAGTGCTTCCCATCTACCCAATACTACTAATATTCTTTTAATATAGGGTAGATGAAGTGAGATTGTTGTCTTTAGAGGGTTTTTTTGTTCCTTACTGTATGATGTTGATACAAGTACTAAACTAATAACACAGTAAAGAAAGAGTAAGTACTGGGTAAACAACAGCCGTGAATACGGTGTAATAGAGACCAGCAAAAAGCAACAGAGCAAACTGACAGAAGGATTCTAGTACAGATATTTAGTACACCTTAAGAAAGAGAAATGAAACCATCAGTTTATGATGTAAAATCACCTACCCTAGAACGACTGGCAAGATCAGGAATAGCCACAAATTCATATATTCCAAAATCATCCAAAGCACTTTCATGTCCTAAAGTTAGAACAAACAAACATGAAAAAAGGTATTGAGGTTTAATATGAACGTGGAAAATCATGTCTGGCAAAGCAACTTGGCCTAATTTTTGAAACATCCAAATATTAGTTGTTTGATCTGCTTTAAACCACTTCCCTGCCAAGCTCCAAAGCTGGTGTGGATAGATTCAGGACAGCTGCACAGCAGCATGCACAGTGCTTGGCACCTTGGGCCAAATGAGGAGCCTCCTGTAACCTCAGTAACAGTTTGGTACAGCCGTTGGAACTCCCTTTGCTGGAAGGCTAAACAGACTGATTTACTTTTATTTCCCATAGAAAATAGGCATAATCCATAAGCTCAGCACCGTAGTGAGGCAGTACCACTTGAATCTTTTATAATGCTGAGACTAAAAAAAGGGGAATGTAATACTAATAGGTGCTACATTATTAAACCAGTTGACAAACTGTATCTGGGACTTCAGATACAACTTGTAGTGAGGGTGGGAGTCTCTTTCTCTACCCTCCAACTGTCCAGATCTGAGACTCTTAGCTGTCTCTTGGGCATCACTCCACAACAAAGGCTGCAACACTAAAGATGGTGCTGAGATTTCCTCCTCCAATACCACTTGCTAGAGTCAAGGAGCCTCTGTGATGAAGTGAAATTTTTACGTACCTAAGCTTCGTATACTTCCCTACCCTCTTGTATGCAGCAGCTTATGGCCTGCTCTGATGCTCTGGTAGGAAGCAATGGGAGTAAAAGTGCTACCCTTACAAAGGATGGCCGGGCTCCAGCCTCCTTGTGCAGGATCATGTGGGAAGGATTGTGGAGGGAAAAGAGGCAATGAAAAAAACACACTGGGTCCTGATAACATACAGAAATGTAGTACTGAACATGGTAGAGGCTAAAATGTATATACTGTATGGTTATATTTTTATCTTACAATTTTGATATCAGTTGGTGCCATGAACATTTAGAATTGTGATCCTCCCATGCCATATCACCTCTCACGATCCCATAGTAACACTAATTGATCTCATATTGGTGTGAAGAGTGGAATAGAAGTGATCCTAATCCCAGAATAAACAGCTAGATTTCAAGACAACCAGAGTATGTGCTGCTGTGAACTCCAGGCATGTACTAAACTCACAATGACCTGTTGCCATTTTGGTTTTATCTTAAGTAAGCTAGCACAGAAATATGCAACCCAAGTCAAAAACACACTTCCTTTTCTTTGCTTCTTGCTTTTTTATGTGGAGATGCCATTTTTCTGCAGGAATGGATTACGCTCATGCTTCTCTTATTAGCATTACCTGAAAATGTATGCGCCTTTCTGTAATCAGCCTCTGGCCTAGAAAACATAAACATGTTTTTCAGTTTGATGTCATAAGCCAAGGAAAGAAAATCAATATAAAAAAAATTGCAATTCTCTTGATATATATGACTTGACATAAGAATTATTTATTTTTTTTACCTTCTCTGCAGCTTCTGTTGTATCACTGAAAAGAAGAAAAAAAAGAACTATTATTCTTTTTGCCCAAATGGTCCAAAAGAAGAGCTGGAGCGTACTTAACTTTTACATACCTTTATGTGGCTGGTATCTTTTCCATATGAATAAAAAAGCCATAGCTAGGATCAAAAATAATGAAATTCCTGTTATTACTGCAAGAGATGACAGAGATTTTCCCTTCTGGGCCAGCTTTTCCAATCCTGTGACAGAGCAGATGAGTACTGTATTTAGTCTCTTGTTCTGTACAATGTGGTACAATGACACTGAAAAACACACCTTTTGAAATTCATCTGAACCTAGTAAACCTGCACAGAGATACAAAATAGATATACAGTTTGGGTTTGTGTGAATTGGTAATATTTCCTCCCTCCCACCATATCTCCTGAAGTGGAAGAGCAATGATACGCGTATGAGTCCAGAACTGGTTGGCACGTACAGCTAAATGAAGGTCAGTAAATGTAATCCACAAATTGCAGCATCGCAAAAAGGAGACGCATATTCTAATTTTAGGCATAGAGAAACTGAACTACCAAGAAATTAGGTGACACTTATGTGAGCAGTTTGTGCTAGATGGGAGAGAACTCCTCCTAGCTGTAGGAGCGGTAGAGTATCAGGGCATAACTGAACTACTGTGTTTTTTCTAAAGATTTTCAGATCACTGACAGTTTGGTTACTTACCAAATCCATCAGAAGTCAATAAATTATGTTTATTTGTATTCATATCTAAATATATCCAAAGTATTTTTTTCCTCTGCTCAGATAGTTATGCATTAGCAGCAGTTTTCCAGCAGGATTTACTGACAGAACACAAACACCATATGTATATAATTACATATACAAAAGCACGTGGAAAGCATTTGCGTAGAATTTGCAAATACAGCAATGTAAAAGTTAGGAAACACCAGACATATTTTCTTCTGCACCCTCAGTTTCCTCCTTTAGCTCTGAATCATGCAGAAAACCATGTAATTAAAGGCCATGTCACAATCCATACAGGTAAATTAATGTTGTGTATTTGTCAGCAGCAGCTTTATTAATCAATTCAAATATGCATTATTTAGCTGGATATGTTTCCAGTACTTGGATGAACTTCTGTGCAGAGAGCTATCATTGCTCACATCTACCTACACCTCTGTGTAATTCACCAGCAGTTTGCTGGCTGCATGTGCACCTGTTGTACCAAAGATTAAATATGTGGATTTCAAACCAGAGACATCCCAAAGGTATGGGATTTCCTGATGATTTTTAGCATTAATTAGGCTGCTGTTTATAGCATGGTATAAGTGAGTTTCAGTTCCTTAGGTGGGGGAGCTGTGTAAGGTCTTCTGAAATACCAGAGTTCCTGTTGCTGCTGACAACGGGGTTTCCAGTATTTTGAAAGGCACAGTCCAGGCTCTATATCTAGGATTATGGGGACAGGGAAAAGGGCTCTGGAATAATACACATAGTCTTTGCATTTTCTTTCACCAATAACCACAATGTTTAGTTTTAAAGTACAGTTTTCTCAATGTAAAACTGTAACTCATCTTCCTTCGAGCATAGAGTAAGCCATGGATTTGTAATGAGTCCATAAGTCAGCCTGAGTGATGGACATCTGCTCTCCTTGTTTACTTGACTAACAAATGGCTGAACTCTTTGTTCTGCACAAGTGAAATTGCTTTGTTAAATTTTATAAAAGGCAACATAGTCTATCTATCTTATTGAACATTAATAGCATACATTCCTTATCTGAAAATACTTGTATTGATCTGTATTAGCAAGAGATAGCCGACTTCCTCCATATCTTGTTCTTTGATGTACGCTTCTGGAGGCTTCCTGTAAAACTGCTCTGCTGCCGTTTAACATGATCTGATACAGGAACTAATGTTATAATTCATGAGAAATAAAGGTGTTCATTCAGTGGAACCTAGGAGTCAATTCATAGATTCATAAATACGACAGTGAAATAATTTTTATGAATAGATTGTAATAAAACTACTGCATTGTTATCATACACTAAAACTAAGGTTCTTGTAATACAGAACCATACTGGTAAAATATTAAAGACCTTCATTGCTGGTGAGTCTGCACCTGGTTATTTTAGTCAGTGATGTATGCTGAAACTATCCTGTGTACTGGTGAGCCTCAGGGCTCACAGCTCCTGAAAGCTGTGGGACTGCGAGCCTTGGACTAAATCTGCCCTGGGGAGGGAAGGCTCACCTCAGCATTCAGCAGATTTCCGCACCATCCTCTCCATTAATCTTCATCATTTTTAAAGGTAAAAAGTAAGAAAGAGAGTAAGAGACATAGCATTCTGCCATGTTACTTGATCAGATAACGTTTGCCTACCGAGAAAGTTTTTCTGCTCAAGGGATAAAGTTCCAAATGGCCAAATATATTTTAGTGTCAAACTCCCATAAAGCTTCAGCATCTTGGTGGGTCTTGTCCTAAGCCATGTCACATGGTGAGGAAAACCGAGATCCCACTGAAAGGCCAAAATCCCCTTTGCTACATTGTTGGCAAGACCTAACTTCTGATACATATTCTCTCTCTAAGAATTATTTCCTTTTTCTGGGCTTAATAGTTACAGCAATGATTTAATGTTCTTACCTACAGAAGTAACAACAACTGTGAAATGAGTTTCATCTCGTTTTCCAGTCACATTGTTGAAAGCGCGGCACATGTAATCTATTGTCTTCTGGGCCACTTTATCGGATACAACTTCCAGGTGGGGCCCGTATTTGATGACATGAGTGGTATTGTCAGCCCTTTGAATCCATGAGTAAGTATTTGGTGGGTTTGAATCTGCTGAGCAGTCGAACAGTATAACTTCTCCCATGTCCACTGTAAACACTGCCCCTATATTCAGACCTTTATCTGATTTAACCCTAAGTCCATAAGGTCCGTCTCCATTGAAAAAGGAAAGAAAAAAACATAAATAAAGAAAACACAGTGGAAAAAAATAAAATCAAAGCATATAATTTAACTTTAAATAAAAGCATATATCTAAACTTAGACTTTTTAAATTAGGCTAGCCTTTAGAATGTCTGGCATTGGATTCAAGCATTTCAATTAAAAGGCTTTCAGTTCAAGAACTTGGTCTGTACTAGGTTTATGCCAGACTACACCCACTGAATACTGATCTAATCACTGTTTAGGTAAAAAGCACAGGTCTATGCATTGTTCAGTATGATAAAAAGAACAAAACCTGAAAACAGCTGAAAAGCTGTGGAGTAAAGGAACAGGTATTCTTCAGGGGCATATTTGACCCTTTCTATTTAAATGCCAAACTTATTGGTATAAGTAATTACTTTGCACATTTAAGTGAACAAATTAGCCTTGAAATATATAAATATTCACTGTAATACTTTGCAGTATAATAACTATTTGGGGAACTATCCTGCAGGTATCCTAGATTGCGGTGGGCCTTAGAAAACTTCAGAAAAAGTTTTCTATGAATGCCTGCTAAAACAAACTTAAAACTTCCCCCCACTTTAGTAGCCTTGTACTATTTTCAACATCTAGGTCATTTCAGATCACGGAGATTTTATATCTTTACATGTTAAAATCTATTTTTACAAGAATTTAATTATAGAAATTAATGTAGCAAATATAATAATCAAAATGTGCCTTATTAAATTACCTTTTCCAGTCAAAAAAACTAATAATTTTAATGTTGCTTATTCCCTAAGGGCTTACATGCACAATCAAAAAAGCACAGACCTAATAATGACAGAAGCCAAAAGAAGAAAATATGCAGAACATCCTTTTGGTAGGATCCCTGAAGTTCAGTGAAGGGGCTGACAAATGCCTCCACAGAATGGCATTTCAAAAAGGTAAGTCAGTATTATGTCCATGGTACACAGTTCAATCAGGTAATATTTCCACCTTCCTGCAGTTGTCTGGAAGCATTAAGATAATGTAGCTGAGTTGGGATGGGAAATTCCCTGCTACATGAAGTGGCACTGTAACATTTCAGACTCTTTTTCATCAGGAAATTCAGGCTGATGTTAGACCTTCCTCTTAACACACACACTTCTATTTATTGCCTTTTTTTATGAGACTGATTTATTCTTCAGGAACACATAGGCAAACAGCATGCAGCACAAAACAGGCACTTTGTGTGTGCCTCTGGGATTTTTTTGTGAAGGCTTAGACAAGACAATGCAGACTATCACACCATGACCTCAGTTTAGTCTACCTTTAGCCAAATATCCACATTTCACAACCTAAACTTGTCAAACTTTTTTATTTTCTCTACTTACTTCTTAGCTGTAAGCTTTATGCAGTCTCATTTTAAGGAAGGCCTAACATCATACATAATATTTACTTGGGAAATGCAGTACGGAGTCACTTCAGCATGAATTAGTGCTGCTCCCACCTACACTGTGGGGGCCATTCTGAAGAACTGAGGCATCTGGGCTCCTACTTCATAGGCTCTGCAGTTCCCGAGTTATTTGCTTTACTGTATCCAAGAGCCAGCTGACCCTGTAATGAGCATTTCTGGGAACTGCAGACCTATCACCACTACTTTGCCTTGGCAGACCTCACTCAGCTGCATGTTTCAGGGGACAGGAGCCCCGCTAGAACACCAGCTTCTCTCAGGAGCTTGCCTGTCACAGGTATTTACTTCCCTTTTTTTCAGATGGGAAAGGAGAGGGATGTACTGAACTTTGACTATTTCATAACTGAAAGTAAAACCTCTCATGCACTATTTATAGGCAGAAACATGTTTTTTTTTTCTTTTCAGAGTAATTCAGTGGTTCCTCATATCCAACTTTTCTTTCTTAGAAGAATTAGCTTTTTTTTTTTTCTCACTGATAATACAACCCTTGATATAAGTGAAGAGAGATTAATGGTAAGAATAGCTGACTGGTCTCTGTGCCCTCTCACTATAGGGGAAATTTGCCCCAGCTTGCAAAAGAATCAGAACTAACTTCTGCTTTTTTATCAATATCATAACAGTGTAGCACAGATAACACTTAACACCATAACTACACTTCGTGTGAAAGCTCCAAATTGAAATAAATCATTCTAAAAACACTGAGGCACACTGGCTGGGAAAGTACATTTGAAACAAACAAACAAACAAAACAAGAGTTTTCTTAAGAAATAGTTAAATCTTAGCAAAGTCTGAAAAGTGGCATTCCTTGAGGAAATCAACACAAGCATTGGGTAAACCTTCTGCTTCGCCTGGATCTATCTTTTGCCTCTCCTGGGCATCACATACATTGGGATCCCTGACCGCTGGGTAGCTGAGGGACATACATGGCTTCAAGGATAATTCTAAAAGGCAGGTAATTAACCATTTCCTCTCTAGGACTGAATATATTCTATCTCTGAGAAGTCCCAAGGAAGGAAATTCCACTTAGTCTGCTAAATTCAACTCCATCAGCACAGCGCAACAGTTTCTGATGCAGCCTCCATGACAATAATTTGTTTCTGGGTCACGCTAATTTAATAGTCATGTTCTAGGGTGCATTATCACCACAGCTAGAGGGGAAGCAGAATAATATTAATGTGAAATGAAGAACAAAGCACTTTTGAGTCTCAGTCAAAACACAGTGACAGCCTTCATGGATCCCTTAGTTCTACTTCTCCTTTCTGGTATCATTCTCAACAGAAAGCTGCCCCTTGTCTCAGTAAAGCCAGTTAACTAAATGACTTGTAAAATAATAAATCATCTGTTCTGAGTAACAATTTACTGCTCTGTGGGAATATTTCCAATTGCTTCTATTGCCACGAGGCTGTTACTGTTTCCAAGCAGATGGCAGGTATTTACTGTGGTTGACCTTTTTTTTATCACCTCCAGTAACTCCCCCGCAGCAATGACATATGGTACATAGAGATCCCAGGGCCTGCTCTAGGTCATTATTGACAACTGGGAGCTGGGAGACAAACTACCCCTCAGGGAGAGGTTGCACTGTCTTACATGACCTCGTATAGCTCAGGAAGTAAGACTCCAACTCCCATCACCAACTTGGATATGGACAGTAGCGCAAGAGTTGCAGTCTTTCAGCATTGCATTGTTTTCTCTAAATTTTTTTTTTCCAAATTTTAAATTATGCACAAAGCAAATCCTCAGTTCTGATGAAATAAAAAGGATATTCTGAAAATGCAAATACTTTTAATGATATCTCCGCATGTGGAGAAAATCTGAGCCTCAAAGATTTTGGTACATACACAGACTTTCTGAGCTGGATATCACAATAATTCAAACAGCAAAAGGTTCCAGAAATGTGGACACTGAAGTAACTTTTAGATTTCAAAGTTCTGCTAAACAATGGCTCAAAAATAGGTTTTGAGTTTAGATCTTGGACAGATTTTTCAAATTTTCCAGAAAATGCATTCACTTGAGTGAGGGAGAAGGGAGGAAGCAGTACGGGAACTGCAGATGAAGGGCACATACTTTGTCAGAGCAAGTGTCCCAGACACCCATCTGTGGGGCCAGTCCTGTGTGGAACAGGACTGAAATGTGAATGTTGAACAGGCTGTGCCACAAACAAAAGGAGCAGTCCAAAAGGTAGCAAGAGCGGCAGATATTTTTCTAGCCTGACCTGATTTGGTTGCATTGTAAGAAGGCTGCCAGGTTGTGCTGGACAGAGTGTCCCCGAGTTTTGTGTAGGTATTCTTTGAAGAGAGAGGTGTACAAGGCCCAGTCATAGTTCAATAAAGTGAGAAAAGCAGTAGAGTCAGGGCATTCATAGACATGCAGCTTTCATTCTTAGCACTTTCAGCACCTAAGTGAGCTGAGATTGTAACTACAAAAGCAGGCATTTAAAACCCTGCTAACTTAATGTTTTGCTTTTTTTTTTCTTTTCTTTTATTACTGCAGTAATGAAAAGTTAAAGCTCCATCAGTGCCGGTAATTTCCTTGTAGAGCATTTTTTCATGATTCTTCTGTCTAATGTGATGGAAGCTCAGTTCACATCTGCCCTGTTCATGACTCTCTTCAGCAGCTTATTCACCTTCATGTCTGCATTGCTGTCAGTTATATAAGCTGCACCTAAGGGATAAGCTCTCATCTATAAATATCCTTGTTAGCCTTTGCTAATTTAGGCAGTTTTTTTCTCTTTTCCTGCTGCGGTGTAGAGACCCATACACACACTTCAAATGCAAGACACCCCCTTACCCAATTCTTACAGTTGTAATTAAAAATAAGTAGCAGAATGTATAATCAGAGGTGAAAGGGGAAGGAGGAAAACATGACATAGCAAGAGGTGTAGATTCTGAGTATACTAGTGGTGCAATCACACATCTAAGGCATGGTCTCTCTATGAGCTGCCAGCTGCCAGCACCTGGCAAAAGCAGGAGTGAGCCCCAGCCCTTGGCTGGACAGGAATCCTGTTCCAGCCCTTGCACTGTTCCATCCACACTGTGCCATTGGGTAAACTGGTTATGTCTGAACAGGGCTGGTGGCAAAGTAGGTCCTGACCTGTCTGATTCCAGCTCTCCTGAGAAGGCCAGTTTGACTTCCAAGGATTAGATTGCGGTAAGGTCATGTACATAGCACGTGCTACTTGCAAATCTTGGAGGCACTAAGAGCTGACATTACAGGAGGGGTAAGGAAGAAAATGAGGGTGCCCTCTTTAAGATTAAAGTATTATTGTTGAATGCTGATTAAGCCAATCTTCTGTTTTCTCCAACTCATTTAATTCATTAACTCAATCTACATTCACAGTTTATCAGGTGCTTTCATTTCCTGTCAAAATATATGGCTAGTTTATGGCTTACTCTTCTGCCAACATTGGCCTTTATGCAACTCTTCTTGCTCCCTCATGTTTCCCATTTGATGTGGAGAGCAAATACTCCTTTAGGCTCTGATTTTGCTAAACCAAACTGAGTTCTACGGGTCTCTTCTCCATTCCTTTCTGTTCTGTTTCTTTCCAGTTTGAAATCTGTGCTCTGGGATGTGCAGGGACTGCACGCAGTATTCTACATGTGGCCTCATCTTCTGCATGCCATTTCCTTGTTGGAAATATCTTGCCAACATGCCCTAAAGTTACGTATGTCTTTCTCATATCTTAATCACACTATCACTTAACAGACACCTTGTGACAGCTCAATCACCCAGGTTTACTACCTCAGTTATTTCCGAACCTATCTCCATCTTACCAGCAGAAGTTCACGTTTTTTATTCTCTAAATGTGGATGCCCATTTATTTTTACTAACAAATTTCATACCAGTCCTATTACAGAGTCATTCAGTCCTCCTAGTTTAATGTCACAGGTGACCTTCATTGAGATACTCCCAATCTTTATGCTGATATCATTAATGAGGTATTAAAAAAGGCTGGACTCAAAATGATCTTGAGGAAAACTATTAATAACCAGTCCTTCAGCCTGGTAGTTCCTGTACTTAGCTTTTTGACATTCTTTCCTGTCTCCATTTTTAACAATATTTCCATGTATACCCATCTGATGATTATTTTTTTTTTCCTTTGAGTCACATGTCCTCCAAATCTGAAGATATCTGTACTGTGGAATTCTCGAAGTTCCTGTTTGAATTCTGCAGTTCAGACTTTCTTCACAACTATACAACAATTAGAGCTGTTACAAACAAGCTTAATTTGAATGTAAGCTCACATATAATGTTGAATCAACTGTTTTCTTCCTGTTTCCACAGTTAGAGGCACTCTTTCCAGCCAGATCATTTATGCAAAGGTAATTATGAATATTTCATATACTCACAATATATGGTGGGTGCAATTATCTCACTTTCCATTGCACTGACAGGGTTAGATACCAGACAGCTGTAATTCCCAATGTCTTCTTTTACAACAGGAACAATTAGAAGTGTAGCATTGTTCGATGAAAAGGTGTAATTAGGGCCAGCATGGAGAGGCTTCCCATTTTTCATCCACTGGTAAACTACCCTTGTACCTTTACCCATGGTACATTTTAAGGTAATATTCCCTACATACTCCACTACTCCTGAAGATGGTTCAGTATGTACAATTGGCTTTGTGACAGGAACTGTAAAATAAAGTGATACAGAGTTGTAAAAGTGACAAGCCAGTATATTACAGTTTTCCTTGTCAAGATGATATAAATAGCAGTCAACATCCTCCCCGGAAAGTACTTGCATTTCAAATTTTATTTATTAAATGTGGTTAAAGGTTGAAAAAAGAAGGCTGAATTCTCAGCTGGTAACTGTAAGAATTGTTCTGGAATATAAATATTATAAATTTATATAATATTATATATAAATATAAAGCTAGACTGTATATACTGGTACAAGGACAAGGGCTGCAGTCAGGTGTATAGTGACCTCTAGCTCCTACCTCATAAGCAAATCCCTGAGGCCACAGAAATGAAAAGAGTGCAAAGCATGACTGCCCACAGCTCACTGTGGCTGCCCACAGCTTTGCTGACACTGGGCACTGCTGAAATACACTGTCAGTCCAGATGTGAGGATGACTGCAAACTGGGATGGGTATGGGAGTTAAATGACAGCTACAACTTTGGCATGACACCATGCAATTCTTTTCATTATTCCAAGCCCAACAGTTTCAGGGCTCCCTCTGTATAATCCATAAACTACAGTAGCCTCCTGACATTCTTTTAGATCATTCTTTTTTATTCCTCCCCTTGCTTTTTTTTTTTCCTCATGATTGGGAGCACAGCAGAGCCTTATGAAACCTTATTTTTAAGTTTCTCTAATTTCACATTGATGGTTTCTCTACCTCTTTAATTTTTTACATATGACCCAGAGACATTAGTCAATACATTAATTTTGTTTAAAGTTGACATATTTTAGCATTCCCTCCAGCAGTACTAGACGACAACATAATTGTTAGTATTTATTAATGTATGGTTGCATCAAATTATCCAGTATTGTAACTGGATACTAAGAAACAGAACTTTAAAACTATTGCTATTTTATTTTCAAAATGAAGATACTACATTTTACTAACTTACCATCAACAGCTACTTGAATCTTTTGACTGGCAGTTATTGTCCCATTTCCACGGACATTGACTTTTACAATATAATTGCCCTCATCAGTGATACGCAATGGATGGATCATCAAAGATGCATTCGGTGGTATGAGAGTAAACTTGTGCTGGAATTCCAAGTCTGGCACTACTGTTTGATTTACGGAGCCAAGCAAGTATTTTGGATTACTTTGGGGTCCCTCAAAAAGCCAAATTATCTGTATTTCAGAAGCTGTAGCATTGAAATTGTAGTCAACAGTAAGATGGAGTGGTTGCCCCTCAATACCATGGACGGTATGAGATGGAACTGTCAACTTTAAGGCTGAACAAATACCTGCATAAGAATGAAAGAACAAACAAATAAGCAAACCCAAACCACAAATGGAAACCCTGGAAAACTCAAATGAGAAACTGTCACAAAGATTTGTAAATGACTGGTTAAAAAATCTGTCCGTATCCCTATTCTTTCTGCATGACATTGCTCAATTTTGGGGTTTATTTAGCTGTCAGGAAGCAATTGTGCTGTAGAACAAGAAGCCAGTAACAGCTGCAGTATAATCATAAAATATGTATAACAAATATTTCTCACAGATGTGTTTGTGCAGAAAATTAGCAAAAACAGAGCAGGAATAGCAAGCAGTAGGATTACTGGTACTACCAGTATAGAAGGTACCACCATCATAAAGTAAGATAAAGAGAACTGTAAACTTGATTTCTTCTCAGTTAAAAACTGTAATTAACTTTGTTCCATTTGATTCATGGGGAAAAGTGGCTCCATGTAACAGCTTGGAAAGAGACTTTGTTCGGCAGTTAAGGAAATGCTTTCAGCAAAGACCAGAGGTGGTGAGGGCAGAACTAATTCTTTCCTCTGGAGTCTGTTCAGGAGTGGCTTTGGGCGACTGCAGTTTTTATCGCTTTATCTGGGTCTGCTGGGGTGATTTCGTAGGGTGCCATCAGCATGCAGGAGATCCTCCATCACATGCAGAGTGAGGGGCAAAGCAGACTGAGGCTTGAAGAAATTATTAGATAATGGTGCTCTGTCAAAGGCAAGGGTTTTACAGAAGATCTCTTGCTTTCACAGAGATCAAATCTTTTGTAGTCTGGAATGTTCTTCATCAGAAGGGTTATTCTTCACTGAAAGGGTTATCTTCTTCACTAAAAGTGTTTTGCAGCCCTGGAACAAGGTGCCCGGGGAAGTGGTGGAGTTACTACCTGTGGAGGTATTTAAAAGATGTGTAGATGTGGCACTTAGGGACACGGTATAGTGGTGGACTTGGCAGTGATGAGTGGACTTGATGATCTTAAGGGTCTTTTCCAACATAAAACATAGGTTCTATGATTCTCTTCTTCCCTAATTTTGATTTTTAATTAAAACTGAAGACTGTTGTGACTAATCTTTAATTTTAATGGTGAAATCAAGCCAATATGCCAAACTCTTACTTCATTCTCATCAGGCACAAATTAAATATAATTTAAGCCTACATCTATAGCTTTCCAAATATAATATACATTTTTCCAAGACAACAGAATTCTGAAAACTAGTTTTTGTATAATGACCATTAAAGGCTGCACCAAAATGACCTCCATTTGGAGCTCAGTGATCTTTTCTTTGCTTCCATTTTACTTTGCTATCACCAGTACTGGTAAGCAAAACAGTTGTTGTTGACATAAAACAATGACTGCAGCTTTAGTTTAAATAAGAAACTATGACATAACTTTTGAGTTTATGGCATAAACTGAAACCTGCATAGCAAGGTTTTATCATTAATTTAACAAGATCTCCTTGTCAAAGTGAATTTGGCTTCTCAACTGCTTTTCACCAGTGTTCACTCAGCTCTTCAGCTCTTCCAAAACCCCAAACTTGGTGTAAAATGTTCTAGATCAGTGACAATAGTTTTTACAATTTTTGCAAGTATATTAATTTATGCAAAAAAACCCAGACATTATGGACCAGGGAATCTGCAGTTTAAATACCCCTATTTGTACTAGGTAAGACTGAGGCATGCTCTTACCCAGTTTGGGATTTTTGTCCAAGAAAATGTTCCACAGAGTTTTGTTATTGCACCTAATTTTAGCTTCTGAGATCAATGTCTTTGGTGGGCTTGTGTCATGCCTCCAAAGCATTGATTGTTGTCATGATGTAAAGTACAAGCTGCACATTTCCCATACTAAGAAACATGCACATCTGTGTAAGGGTATACAATGAGAATTCCTGGTGAACAAACATGTACTCTAAAGCATTCTGCTTCTACAGTAGCATCTCTTGTAGGATTTTAATAACAAATGTCCAATAAAGTGTTAATGTAGATAAAGTGCATATTCACTGTGTTTTTTACCAACTGGGGGTTTAATTTTTAAAGTAATCCAATAATTTTTATATAAACCTGCAATTATTATGAAACCTAAACTCGTGATGAAGTATTTAGCTCAAAATCAAGGAAACTAGGTGACTGTATATGAAGTTCACAAAGAAGGTAAAAGAAAAATTGTCCTTACACATGAATGTATAGAGGATGCACTACTTCACAGAAACAATTAAATATAGAAAAAGTCAATTACAATAGTTTGTATAAATATGTTTATCTAACATTTGATCACAGGACATTCCTGTCAAAAACATACACTTTATCAGCCGCAAGAATAACAAATACATAACTTAGGAAAACTGCACCCAGATACCAAACAAATGTGCTATTAATGGGAAGACATTCTTCAGTTGATTGAAAGCTTCATTTAGTATCATACAAAGTACCTTTAAATGTTAACTATAAATGTTCTATATTAACTATAAGGCATCCCAATGAAGTGGAAAATAATGTTATCGGCACTGTCTCAACATAATACATTTTTAAAGAGATGTGTAACTGTTTCTATGTAAACTTTGGTTCAGAACCTGCCCAGCCTTACAAGAACACACAATGTATATATTACTCAGTAAAATGTGACAATATGTATGCAATCTATGCCCATGTTTTATAACCAGATTATGTATAGCATTCATCTTTGTCAGCTGCTAAAACTTTATAGCTCCACACATAAACCAAGGTGACACTATCTACTTAAAAGCTTTTAGGCTACTTTCTTGATATGAAACATCTGACTATACAACAGAAATATCTTGAAATTTATAAAGATAAATTTAAAAAAAAAATTTGCATTTTCACAATGACAATCAAATATATTTCATAATGTTTCTTACCTACAAGCAGAAAATACAGTTTGCATTGTAAGTCCCAAAAGAAATTGGCTAAAGGGCTCCATGAAAGCATCCTGTCCCACACAAATGCCACCTTCTCAGCAGTGCTAAGCCAGGGGTTGGACCTGCAGCTGCTCGTTTATTTGCTAGGGAAATCAGCAATGAGTTAACAGGCCCTATCCTGTCCCCTGCCTTATGTGATTTGAATATGTGTATACAAAGAACAAAGGGAGTGGAGCACCTGTTAGATGAGCACCCATCTTCATTGCCTCTGACTTTATCGTAACCCTCCCCTGGCAGTCGTAGCAAATACAACACAGAGTATAATAAATGAGGCAGAGTATACAAAGTACATTGAATTAACAAAAATAAGTGAATGCACCCAGTGTACAGGTTATATAAACATCCTTATTAACATCCTTTAGTTACAGTTTCATAAAAAATACCATACGAGTAGATGGTTCTGCTTATTTCAAGCTAGAATTAGTAGTCAGAATTTTCATCTTTTCCAGTGACAGCCTCTCCTTTTCTCTTATAAAAAATATTAATCAGCTACTAAAGAAAGAGCCTTGCTTACATATTTTTCCAGCACTTTAAAGCCTGTAACTTTCCAGTATTTTTTTTTTTTCCTTAGCATAAGCATAACTCAGCACTGCTTTTGTTCCCTATCTCTTAAATAAGATGTAACATGAAGCATCTATCAGGCATCTTCGAACAAAAAATCCTATGGCTGGAGTGGACAGCTTACTACAGTTGTTGAGTTAGCTGCTGATTACTGTTTATTCTGCATTAACTTACATTGGTTTAAATTAATACTAATGTATGATTTGGATGTTGTCCAAAGTTATCACCCACTATACAGATCAGCAGCAAACCAGGCAACCCTCCCAGTCGCATGTGCGGCAACAGTTTGCAACAGCAAATATTTGCAGCAACAGAGAGGGTTTAATTTTTTGCTATGCAACGTTCAGGCAGAGTATTACGGATTAACAAATGTCACGCTGCATCCTGCCTCATGCAGGTGGGACTGGTGGCAAGGAATTGCCTTCCCCCCTCACTGAGTGGTAGGAGCCAGGGTCCTGCAAAGCTCTAAGCCCCCACCAGAAGGGCTGAACACTCAATTTTTACTTAAGTTAGAGGAAGGTGAAAACACCTAGATCTATAAAGATCAAGTGTGAGAAGCAAGAAGGTTATTTCAGGTTAACAGAAGTACAGTGGTCCCACCAGAAATGTCACCACCTGACACAAGACAGGAGATGAAGAGAGTATTTTGCGTATTTCCAAAGACTTCTCGCATGTACTGTCCTGCCCCTCCTGAATGCTGTTGTTTATAACCTTCTTAATCCACTTAGGTGTAGGGCAGATGCATCAAATTGCAACCTTTTGTAAAACCTGAGTTAGAAATTATTATCTGCTTGGTTTCAACACATAATAAAATATTGGTCATAGGTTCCAATTATTTTCTAACTGAATGACAGGAGCCTTCACATTGGGATAAAGCCTATGTGAGCACTTCTAATGTCGTATGTGGGTGAAGACAGTAATAAAAAAGATTAGGGTAGTTATATTGTTTAAGTAACCGTGTCCTCTTATTTCCAGCATTTGCATATAAACTTGATGTCATTAATTTGCTGAAACTTTTTACACTGACTACCTCACACAGAGGAAGTGGATGCTAATAATTTGCATTCCTTTTCCCTCGGAATTCTAGCTTGTTCTGGTTGTTAAATGGCATTTGGACTCAATACAAATCAAACTTCACTCCTTCTTAATAAAAGCAACTTTATTTGCAGCATTAGTAATCTGAGCACTTTCAAGTATCTCTGAAAATGTTATTGCAAAGTAACTTTGTTATGTGCTAAACTTGTCAAAGGTTTTCCACAGAAATAATTACAGATTATCTTCCCAATGGTAGCCAGAAGTAATGAATTCCTGCTGAAGTATGCAGGGAAAGGACCGTCACTCCTGACCTTCCCTTTGCACTGTGTCAGTTCAAAGGAAGAGCAGCGTGCCTGCTTTACCTGACTACCCTGCAACAATGTACCAGCCAGCTAGGAGGCTAAATAAAGCCAGGATTAGGAAAAACACGCTGAGGTGAACTATGGGCAGATTCTGGTAACACCAAAGGGAAAGGTAACGTTTTCTCCAGGTACTGCTATGCCACAGTGGAAGTGTTGGTAGCCCTATTACTGAATGTCATCTCCTGTGAAGCAAAGATTACAGTACAAATTCTTCCATTTCCTGTCTGGATATAAAACAAATCTAAAACTCTAACAGCTTTTTTTTTTTAGTTGAGATCTAACGGCCAAATTACACAGACAAACAAGCCTGTTCTGCGGATGCAAGACTGCACATCCATGAACAGGCCAGATGCACTAGTGCGCAACACCTGAAATAACCCAAAGCAAACAGAAAATGGTCATGGACCAAGTGTATCTTCCAGTCTGTCTCTTTAGACAAAGCCTCGGTTTGTCCTCTCAGATAACTGCTTTCAAACTCTAAACTACAGTGTTCAGATACGAACATTCCCCAAGCTCCACTCGAGGTATTCACGGACACAGCCGTAACGCGGAGGCCGAGCCCGAGCACGGGCTGTTCCGACATGCGTCCAGCACCGCTTCCCGACAGCGGGCTGCCAAACAGCGAGCTCCTGCACGGCTCCGGAGGGTGCTACGGCCGTACCTGGGCCCTGCCTCCCCCGGCTGACGCGCCTCCCGCAGCCAACACGGCACCCAAACCCCCACTTCCCCTCACGGCACACCCGGTCACCCCCACGCCGCTGGAGCGCTGCCGCCTGCGGGCTACGGCGGAAGGGGCGGTCCCACCGGCTGCCTCCCTGCCGGCCTGACGGGAGCTGTAGTTGGGCTCCGCCGCTTGAGGACTACTGGTCCCAGGGAGCAGCGGGCGGGCGCTGTCAGGTGGCGTCCGATATGGCTTCCCTGTGCCTGCCGCGGAGGAAGTCTGCCGCCGAGCGGGGCTGCTGAGCGCTGACGGGGGTGGCGGCGGTAGCACGATCATGCAGAAGATCAAGTCGTTGATGACCCGTCAGGTGAGCGGCACCGGGGGTCCCCCGGGCTATTGGGGGTCCCGGGCTCTCCCCGGGGGGCGCCGCCCCTTGGCCCACGGCGAGGGGGCCTGGGCGGGTGTGTGCAGCGGTGCCCCGGCACCTTGATGGGCCTCCGGGGCGCGGGCACCGCCCGCAGCCTGCTGTGGGCAGAGGGGAGTCGTGATGTGTATCAGATATCGGTGCGAGTGCATCCAGCTTTTTTTTTGCCTCTTTAAATCAAGAAACGGAAGCACGCGTAGGTGCCAGCAGGTGGATTGTGACAGACAAACCAGTGTGCAGGCTGACACGGTGGTCTGTGCAAATTTCCCTTTCCACGTATGATTTTGGGGCGCTGGGCCAAGGCACTGTGACATAGCGTTGTCTCTGGCAAAGCTCTTGCTCAAAAGGGAGGTGAGGCTGTGGAGCGGCTGGGGAGGTGTTTGGATGGCATATACTGAATGTGTCCAGGAGCACTCCATGTGTTTCTGTTAGCCCACTTCTTTGCACCAGTGGCCTCTAGGGTTATGTAGGTCTAGTCTGTGTTTGCCCTAGTATTTCTGAGGTTGTGAGCCTTTGTAAAAGAGTGGATTAGAAGAGCATTTGAGTCATTCGTGTATACAAAGTACTTCTAAAATGAAGCCTGTCTGCCTGTGTGTCTAAATTTGAGAACTTACAAAAACCCACTGGAGTAACATCCCCCCCCCCCCCATATATTCTAGGTAGTTGTAGGAAATGATGGGAAAGTCAGAAATTGAAGTTTGGTTATTTTCCCTAACCTCTGTCCTCAGAGTTGAGATACTTATGCGGGAGGCAGGGCTTAAACAGGACACCAGCATGGAAGTTGAATTTCCAAAACTATGTTCTGCTCCCCTTCAGTGTAGGGGTAAGCGATCACTTTTTTGGCTTAACAAGAGACGTGGCAAACCTGCAGAGCGTGGAAATCGTGGTCTGAAAATGATGTGATTTATGCAGTTTTCAGCATTTGACAAGGATTAGGTCCCACTTAGCATTTGATAAGTGCAACATTTTACTGCTTCTGAAGGCAAGCTGCTAGTACTGTGGATTTTGAGAGGATGTGTGGAAGGTTTTCTGTGACGTATGAGGAATGGCAGCAGTTGCTTTGGTTGGTTGTTACTTTGAATGTCCAATGCATAGATGTGAGTCATCTTTGGTGTTGGTAACTGGGAAGCGAGGATGTTTTGAGATGATGTGCAGGGGAATCAGAATCAAAACCCAAATGAAGAACTTTTGCATCTTAGGAAGATGAAACAATTGTAAAATGTAGTTGTTATCACAAAAGTGCGGAAATCATAAAACACTGTATCAAAGGATAAATGAACATTTCCATCATAAACTCACATAGTAATTGCATGGGTCCTTTTGTTTCAAAGAAAGGGTAGGTGCCCAGGGCCTGAAAGGGGCTTAGAAGCAGTACTTTTAGTGTCAACTGCAAGAGTAGGAGGGAAGTCTGCCTGGAACTCGTGGCTCACATGAACACATTGAGGTCTCAAGGGAAGCTCAAGTCAGAACCACGTCTGAAACTTGAATGTTTGGATTCACCTCTGCCTAGGAAGTGGATAGAAAACATGCTAAGCAGCATGTTCTATGGTGTTGTGTCATAACATTGTGAATATGTTGGATATTTGGCAAATAGTGGGCTGGTTAATTGCTGCTTCGTGGACAAAGTTTCAGTCTACTAGAGCATATTCTGTTTCTGTGGCTACATGCTATTTAAAACTACATTTTGTTATTATAGAAAACATATAATGTGGATTATGCATCTTTTTCAGTTTGTTATACCATTAATGAAAACCAGTCCTAATAGTGTTATATGGTAAAGAAGAGAAATATGCCAATCCAGCAAAAATAATGCTTGTTACAGAGTAACAAGCTTTGCACTTAACTTTAATTCATTTATTTGATTCCATTAAACCATGAAGGTAGTGGAATGAAGTATGTAAGGGTCTAACTGAACCTTATGAAGGGAATGTTAGTGAGCTGTACTGAAAAGGTACATAATGCAGCATTAAGTTGGAAATGTTTTGATGTTTGAGGAGCATAATTTATACACCAATGGTCTTGTTTAAATGTTTATAGAATAAGGTCTTAGCCTTCCAGCCTCATGTCAGTGTGATTTATTGAAGTTCTTGTGGGTGTATATTCAATACCAGGTAAGACTTGTGCAATCTGATCTCAAGATACATAAAGTAATCAATCTTAACTCAGTACTGAAATTCTTTTAAAGGGTCTAAGAAGTCCTCAGGAGAGTGTTCATGACCTCAGTCCTATTGAAAGCTTTCGGATTCCTAGTAAGGTATGGTGCACTGTCCCTCCACTCCCACTCCTTTCATTTTTAGTTTTTCATTTTACAATTAGATTACATTTGTTTCTTTTTCTTTTTTTCTTTTTGAAGACTAGGTTTGCTGTTGTTCTTTTTGACAGTTTTATTTCTTGCTGAAAATCTTTTAAAATAGTGAAAGAATTAAGAGCTGTGAGGCAAAACAGTTCACTGACTCAGAATGAACTTGTGTTGAAATTTCTTTCTTGAAATTTTTGAGTTGTCACTGGATGCTGATCTTAATACTGTCTAGGTTTCCTGCTGGAATGAACGAAAAAAAAAAAGAAGGAAAACCAAAAGCTCTTTTCTTTCTTATTTTACTTTGGAAAGTAGACACTCTATGGTTGCTTGTATAGGTCTATCCTTGATATTTAGTCTCTTAATTGTTTTGGTAAAGCATATTTTGTAGTTTCATGGTTTTAATCTTCAGCATATAGAATTAACTGCATGTTCTACTTTCAGTGCTACAGATTTATAATAATAATAGTTTTCTGGCTTTTTGGGGGTCTTACTCGTTAAATGAATGCCAGCTCACTCTTGTCTCACAAATCATGCTGAATCATCTTGGTGTCAGGGAACAATTGTCACTGTATTTGACTGCTCCTTATATCCTGTTGATCTGAGTGGATGACTCACAAAACTTGCTGTAGATGCTGTTTATTATTTTCCCCTAATTTGTATTTTTCCTTTAACCAATGAGATATTTAAGTTAGTAACTTGAATTTGGATGCCTTATTTTACAGTAGTTTTAAGAAAACAAAACAATCACTCTTGGATTCTGTCTTTATACAAGTACTGTCTAATATGCTGCTTGTGCTGAGGCAGATCAGAAGATGTGTTACTGTGTATTTAAAAATCGAGGTACAGTCTCTGAATTGGTACACAGTACTCTCAAACAGTGGCCAATATGTTGTTTTCAAAGAGCAAAAGTATTCAGTTGCAGCAGTGTGAAAGAACTGTCTCATATCCACAGCTTGGATTTCAAAATTGCAGATTCCTGCCACCCACAGAGCATACAGTTTCAAACTTTCTTGTTTTACTCTCCAGGTAAAAGTAGATGTAGGGTATTGTGGCTGGATTTCCATTCTATAATGGAAATTCCTGATGTTATGTGTGCTGGTAAACCTACATCTTGTATCAGTAACAATGGGAAGTCAAATACCTCTCAATAATTTGTATTTTTTTTCATACATTTATGTCAAACATTTGTAACATGAGAACATTTGTCTGCAACTGTTCTGCAGACAGAATCTCATTGCAGTTTTGAATTGTGTGCCCAAAAAGCCAAGACTGTGTCAACATTAGAACTTTTCACCCGATGACTTTTTTTGTAAAGTTGATAAAATCAATGTTATTCTCTCCTATGACATAGCATAAAACTTGGATATTTTTCAGTCTGTTAATATTAGTTTTTCCTCCTTCTGAAATATTTTAGATGAGTAGATCTCAAAATAACTACTACATTAAGTATATACTCTGTACAGTAACAACATACATTCTGAGTTACTTCCATTAACTTTTGCCTTCTCAACAAGCTGTATTGAGTAAAACTCTTATGAATTTGCCTTGTTACCTGATTATCTGGATGATGCTTTTAGTAATATGATTTAGTTTTGGGTAGTCCTACAAGAAGCAGAGAGTTGGACTCAGTGATCCTTATGGGTCCCTTCAAGTGTAAGATTTTATGTGGTTTTAAGAGGGTGTTGAATAAAATTACTGTGGTTTGATCAGCTTAACTTCCTGGCTATGGTCCCAAGCCATTTGTCATGGTAACTTTATTTCTAGCCCTTTTCTTTTAGAGGAAGGATTTATATTGTCGTGCCTCCTCAGCTTTGCTAAAACCTTGATTGTAGGTTTTTACTTTTCAGATGAAACGTTGGATGAGGCACAGTAATATGTCTCCTGTCACTGTGAGCATAGACTCAGATACGCTTGCTTGAAAGCTAGAATTCTGGGAGGTGGAGAGAGAAGGTGATGTCTGTGTTTGTGGTATGAGTAACTGGTGAGGAGATTAGATTTCAGTACTGCACAGAAGTTGAAAGTCACTGAGCTTTTGAATATTGGTATTTGTTTTGAACTGACGCTGTATTCAATGCCATGGTGATGTACTGATGTCACAAACTGGAATTGTGTTATAATTACACGATCAAGAAGCTTTGCTGGGTATAAGCTGATGCACCTCAATAATTATTTTAATGAACAAGTTTGGTAATGGGAATTTGCTTTTGAGTGCAGAAGTGAAGACTAAAGAAAAGGTGCAGATTTTTAAAGGCGATGGGTAAAAGCATAACTTCAAACTGTTGCAAGCTATTTGAACACATACATTGTTCTC